TATATGCACATGTGGCTCGTGCTCATCAATTGTTAAAAAAATGTGGGTATGTGTAGGAACAACATATCACGAATTTGTGAAGAATGCTGGGCAGTGCGCAGGTATACGGACCAACATGGCTCATCTACATGCCAAACTCACAAGTATGTACTGCATACTAGTATGCGTATTAGTATGTGTACTTTGATACATACTTGTCCGCGAAAACACGCGTATCGTTGGTCACTGTACATAACGTATCGTCGCATATGGGGTTTAGGGTTTAAGGTTTTAGGACAGGCGAGTCATACCACGCTTGAGAGACTCAGTACAATACACACACACCTGAACACACTCCATTTGAGACGCTCAGTACAACACACACACCGTGCGGGTGTGCTTAGGGTTTTGGGTTTCACATACCTACTTGCCACTCCTCACCCACCACCCCACACTCCTCTGCGGTCATGAGTGCGCGGCATTGTTCGGCTGCGTTTAAACTGTCTTGTATCCTCTTGCTGCCGAGCCAGTGCGATGGGAAGAAATGTGTTAGCTGTACGGTATAGTACTTTATTAGGTCATAGGCTTTTTAGGCTTTTTAGGGTTTAGGGTTTTTAACCTTTTAGGGTTTAGATTTTTAGACATTTAGGCTTTAGGGTTTATTGTTTTTTAAGCTCTTACTGTATGTAAGAGAGAACATGTGATCGGATGGACTCAGTTGAGGCAGAGGGCACATGGGTCAGCAAGCAGCAGGTGGTTGTGAATCTGTGCCCTATCATTGTTTGTGCTACTGTAGATGACAGTGCGGTACCACAATTATATGTTTGCGTTTGGTAGCGTATAGGTTAGGGTTTAGGGTTTAGGGTTTAATACTGTGCATATAATGCTATTTGTTTCACTGTAAATGACAGTACGGTATCTCCATTGTATGTGTGGATTTGGTTGCGTATATATTTCTTCGGGTCTATTCTCCCTTTGCTTATCTGCCTACCCGCGCGCTTCAATTCCACATTACTTAGTACGTTGTGAGTGTTTTCGTACAACACAACTATATATTTTCCAACATGAACACATCCGCACACACACATACATCCACACACACACATACTTCCACACACACACACACATCCACACACACACACACATCCACACACACACACACATCCACACACACATATATATCCACACATACGTTGTAAGTGTCTTGTAGCGATGCAGAAAGTCCTCAAAGCCCACTCGCGAGGGATAGCCTGCTCTGCGTATGCGCACGGTCTCCAACATGCCACTGTACAACAGTTGGTTGTGCACAAAGTCTGACACAAACAGATCCGGCTGTTTGGTCAGATTCGGCTTAAGACATCGGATGAAGAATGGCGCCGCTGCCGATAGAGATGACATCAGGTCCTATATATAGTAAAGCCGTGGGTTTTGGCGGGAAGAGGAGGACGTTGGGTGAAGGCGGGTGGATAGGATACCTTAGCCTCTCAGCAACCTTAAGTAAAGGCTTGAATGATAGTTGAAGGCAAATCATAGAGCCGATTTAAACTCATGGGAAAATGGCCAAATAGCTGTGCGGGATTGCGTGAAATCATCACCTTGGGTTAGCACCATGTGTCATACCTGCTGAACGAAGCACGACATACTAACAGGTAGTTATAGCACACGGATTAAACATAACTAGCCATAGACTGGTCACAATCACACATATGAATATAAAACCCCAAAGCCCACAATAGCATAGAGGCATACAGCTCACACTGATCACAATAACATAGATGTATACAGCCCACATTGACCATCATGTCACTAAGGTTGATCACTTTGTGAGGTTTGATGTGGCGGTGGCAATGATACTCAGGTGATATGCATTGCAACCATGCACGTGCGTATGCACACACTTGTACAGACACCCATATACTCATACACCCTACGCCCTTATACACACGCACACACACACATATATATATATATATCCTTATACACACATATATG